AGTATCTAGTTTGTGTCTGGTTAAATTGTATAATTCAAAACTTTCCTTTTATGTAATTCAGCGACAAGGTTAATGTCGTCCATCATTGAAAAACAATGGAAAAGACATGAGTGTGGCGACACATGCCAATAAAACCCATTATAATCAGTGACACTGTCTACACTTAATGCGTACACGACAAATTCCTGACAGTCAACGCATGTCCAGTTCTATTTCTGATGCACTTCAATCGCTCGCGCTACTTCTGACACGAAGGACATGTGTATTTGTGCATGTGCGAGACTGGCTCTCCGGGGACAGAGGAATATGAGGCGCTCCTCTTTTTGAACATTTCAGCTTTGAGTTTTCTCTCTGGCTTTAATGTGCTGCCTCTTTCTCGGGCCCCAGCTTTGATCTGGGCCTGGATGTGTTATCATTCCGTCACGATGAGCTCATGGAGTGGACGGCCTTTGGCTTCGCACTGGCGTGGAGAGGTGTAATCCACCTGGAATCCATATGTCTCTCCCAGTGTGTTTATAGCCCACGTCCAGAGAGAGTCTAACATGTGTATGTACACGACTTCCCGCATGCATTGAAAATATACAATATTACTGTTATTTTACAGTGCTCTTGTTACACATTACATGTAGTTAATATAGTAATTACTATAAATTGTGCATGATTGCACAACTAACATCCTAACCATATAGCAAGTACATGCTACTCAGTTCTTTAATGTGTAATTACACTTACACTTATTATTATCGCCAGTGATATGTCTTCCAACGAGACAATTTGTAAATATCAATTGATGTCGGAAAGATGCTGCTGGATTTTCAACAGGATATTTTGTGATTTTGGATAGTTGGGAATCTTTATTAGTGCTTTAATTGTATTAAAACGTCCATATCATATTTAGTTATGTTGGGAGCTGAAATTCCATAATTAAGATAATTTAGGTTTGGTTATTTTATAATCCATACATATGTGTGTGTATATATATATATATATTAGGGCTGTGCAAAAATTAATTGCGATTAATCGCATCCAAAATAAAAGTCTGTGTTTACATAATATATTTGTGTGTGCTGTATATAATTATTTTGTATATATAAATACCTATGCATGCATGTATATATTTAAGAATTATTTGCGCTTAAATTCTGTATATATATATATATAAATACATAATCTATATTATATAAATATAAATATTTAATATATGAATAATACATTTTCTTAAATATATACATGCATGTGTGTGTATTTATATATACAAGATAATTATATACAGCACACACAAATATATTATGTAAACACAGACTTTTATTTTGGATGCGATTAATCGCAATTAATTTTTGCACAGCCCTAATATATATATATATATATATATATATATATATATATATATATATATTCAGATCTTTCCCATGCATGGCTCATTATTATACTTGTGTTATCGCCGTGTCAGCATAAATCTTTAATTGCGTATTCTATTTTTTGTGCAGTTTCTTGTGGCCCCCTTCATGGGTCACGAGCCCAGGTTCCAGAGACTCGGGCGTCTGACGGGTTGAATGAAAATGAATGGGTGCGTTTGTGTGGCCATAGCGTTTGAATTAGCAGCATCTTCTCCAGTCTTATTTACAGTACGAGCTCCCCATCGGAGCATCCTGCTCTCCACACTGGAGGCGTCCTGTGGTTAAGGAGGTTTGGAAAATTGACCCTCCTTGTCTGACTTGTGGCTAGGCGGAAGCACTGTCGCCCTTTCCTTAAGTCCCTTCCTTCTGCTTTTCCCCCAAAAAAATCCCCTTAAAGAGCGCAGGATGAGAAGGATTTCCTCTGGTTTTGACGGCAGATCTTTAATTTGAGCGTGCTCGTCTTCCACTTTTCTTCTCCGAGCTCAAACCTCTGCGGAGCTGGCGTTCCCCGTTCCTGCTTTATTCGTCCTTCTCATCTCACTTTCCGTGACGGATTGTGACGAACTGTCTGCTCTTCTCACACACCCTCGGTCAGGCTTTTTTACCTTCTCACACAAATGCACACCTACATACTGAACAACCCAGAAGATCAATCTTGATGCATTTTAAAGTGTGCATATTTTGAGTATCTGTTAACAAAAAATTAAATTTCATATCCATAATTATGTTTTCAGTGGCGTGTGAAGAGCTTACATAATGAACCGTTATGTTTTTATGACCTTAGTATGAGCTGTTTTTCTCTACACACACTCCTTACATCGACTTTCTACAGTGGCCCTAACCGGACAAACGCGTTTCGTCACTATGTTGTTCTTCGTGCAAAGAAGCGAGTTAAAGTCAGCAACAGGTGACAAAAATATTCGCAAAAACATTGTTTTACTGAATAATTAAATAAACCTATTTTCTTAATTTGTCTTTGTAAAGAAACCTCATTGATTAACGCTCAGACGACGACATCACTTCCCGTCGGCCATCGAAACTTCTGTTTTTTTTTTTTTCTGTGCAGTTCCCAGCCTCACCACTGGATGCTGATAAACATTACACACTGCACCTTTAAGAGTAAATGGCTCAAAGTTGCGCTTAAATGTTAGTTATCAAGCATCTCAGTGGTAATTTAGATTAATTTAGATTTAATTTGTCAGTCTTAGAGATGATTCACAACACTTTGCTACTCTCTACTGTCTCAGACGACAGGGCTTTGGTGACGTCCATCAAAAAGTAAAGTTGTTTCACAGACAAAGTAAGGGCCGGGTCTCAAAGAGCAGCAAAGGTTAATACGTGTGTTTGCATCGAAAAACAAAGGAAAACTAGCCGAGTGCGTCTAAAGAAAGAGTGTGTTTGATGTAATATGTGATTGGTGTTATTGTGAGGTATGAACAACCTTAAAGAGCGATAGACACAGAAAGGAAGCACTAACTAACTAACCCTCTCTTCCTCTCAGCGAGCTGCTCTTTCTTCTCTCTGGAGCTCTGAATGTTCAGAGAGTGCTATTTTTGTGGCTTCGTCTTTTACTTGTTTCTTTCTTGTTTAGACGCCTGTTTTCTTCTTTCTTTCTTTCTTCCAGTGTTTTTTTTTTTTTTGTCTGCTGGTTGCTCCACATCAGAGATGTGCAGAAGGCTCTTTTGTGTTTGCTCTGCCCTGAAGGCATTCATGTTGCAAGACAGATTAATAATTACAGACTACACAACAGTCAGGGAGAAACAATTTCTAGATCTTTTGATGTCAAACATGAGAGAGACCAAAATTACACAGAAAAGAGGCCGTAGAAAAAGAAAAAAGGTCCCCAACTTTTTTTGTGTGTGTTTTTGTTTTGTTTTTAATTTCCTCTTATTGTTATGTCTGTTTTTTATGTGTATGCTAAACGAGACGATAACTAAAGGGTTATAGAGGATGATCTGATGATGTTCATTTAGAGAGTGTGTTTTTATGTGTGTGGAATATTTTTTTGTAAAAATATTATCATTATTATTATAGTTATTACTATAAATCATTATTAACAAATTAGTGATGCACTGATATGAAAATTTTAACCGATAATTCTTAATATTTGAAAGCCAATAACCGATATTTTATATAATTTTTGAGAGCCTGATTACAAAAACAAAAGTCTCACCATTAAAATCCATGTCCCAAACACACAAATATAATTGGCTTAAATATATCGGCCAAATTTTCGAATATCGGCAGATAACCGATAAAAATATTATAAAAATATTATCATTATTATTATAGTTATTACTATAAATCATTATTAACAAATTAGTGATGCACTGATATGAAAATTTTAACCGATAATTCTTAATATTTGAAAGCCGATAACCGATATTTTATATAATTTTTGAGAGCCTGATTACAAAAACAAAAGTCTCACCATTAAAATCCATGTCCCAAACACACAAATATAATTGGCTTAAATATATCGGCCAAATTTTCAAATATCGGCAGATAACCGATAAAAATATTGTAAAAATATTATCATTATTATTATAGTTATTACTATAAATCATTATTAACAAATTAGTGATGCACTGATATGAAAATTTTAACCGATAATTCTTAATATTTGAAAGCCAATAACCGATATTTTATATAATTTTTGAGAGCCTGATTACAAAAACAAAAGTCTCACCATTAAAATCCATGTCCCAAACACACAAATATAATTGGCTTAAATATATCGGCCAAATTTTCGAATATCAGCAGATAACCGATAAAAATATTATACAAATATTATCATTATTATTATAGTTATTACTATAAATCATTATTAACAAATTAGTGATGCACTGATATGAAAATTTTAACCGATAATTCTTAATATTTGAAAGCCGATAACCGATATTTTATATCATTTTTGAGAGCCTGATTACAAAAACAAAAAATCTCACCTGTTAAAATCCATGTCCCAAACACACAAATATAATTGGCTTAAAATTATCGGCCAAATTTTCGAATATCGGCAGATAACCGATAATGTACCGATATATCGTGCATCCCTAAACAAAATATGCATTGTAACAAAAACAATTCCTCACATTAAATGTCTGATGTCATATTTCCTCTTTGATATCGTTCTGTCAGTGGCTTTTTGGATGTGTTGTTTGATGAAGAACTAATATGTAGTTTCACTGGCCCTGCTGAATTGTTCTTTCAATTTAAGGTAATTACCCCCTTTTAAACGGAGGGCGAGATGTGCCTCACACGTGCACGTATATAGAGAGTGAAAGCAGGTTGACAGGCTCTTTGTTGCAGTCTGACAGCTCTTTTGGCGGTTGTGTCTCAGCGTTGTTGTCAGACATGAGTCTGAGACGCTGTTTGTTTTGCGTCGACACACATTTGTGGGCTGAAGTTCTCTGTGTCAACATAAAACACTTCCCCAATCAGCTGATAAACAATAAGTATAAAGCACAACGTGATACTTTTATGTGACGTGTTTTCCGTATCCTTTCTCTCTGTTCTTACTCCTGAGAATAAAGCAAGTACATGGATATGTGTGTGTAGCAGTCACGGGGTGACCCAGTTTGTGTGTGTTTTGTGTCGTAGGGATAAAGATGAGCAGCTGGCTCGTGTTCGGGACAGTCAGAGACATCAGGCCCATCAGGCTGAGAAGGCACTGGAGAACTTTAAGAAGCAAGTGGAGCTCAGCTCAGAGAAGACCTATGCTGACATGAAGCAACAGGTGAGGCCAGCACACTTTCACACTACAGTTAACACTTCCTCACACGCACCAAGAGGAGAAAATCAAGGTGTATGAAGGAGATGTTAAGGTACGTTTACACGACAATGCTATGCTTAGAACGAAGAAGTCTTTCCTTTTTCCGCGTGCAGAAATGATCCCCGTTCACACGGATCCGCGAAAACGGCTAAAAAATGCGGTATTCTGCTGCCAGGCCAGTAGATGGCGATGAAACAATATTGTTAAAGCTACAATATGTACGAATTTTGTAATAAAATATCCAAAAATCACTTGGAGTGTTGCAGTTGTGTACTTACAGTTTCCCAAAAGTCTACAAAGATTTTTTATTTCAGAAAAATTTCAGTGGCCGTCCCGCGCTATCCTCGGGTTATGACGTAACCATGGCGACAGACGTGGACAACTGCGCAATGCGTAATGTTTAGCGGCACGCAGTTCTTGTTTCTTTCCAACATAGACCATGGAGAACTACAAACAAGGAGAACTAAAATGAGGATCAACATCAGCGTGGCGTTTTTGAGATGCCGAGAGCTAGCGTCCGGCTAAACGGCTACAAAATGCGGTATTCTGCTGCCAGGCCAGTAGATGGCGATGAAACAATATTTTTAAAGCTACAATATGTACGAATTTTGTAATAAAATATCCAAAAATCACTTGGAGCGTTGCAGTTGTGTACTTACAGTATCCTAAAAGTCTACTAAGATTTTTTATTTCAGAAAAATTTCAGTGGCCGTCCCGCGCTATCCTCGCGTTATGACGTAACCATGGCGACAGACGTGGACAACTGCGCAATGCGTAATGTTTAGCGGCACGCAGTTCTTGTTTCTTTCCAACATAGACCATGGAGAACTACAAACAAGGAGAACTAAAATGAGGATCAACATCAGCGTGGCGTTTTTGAGATGCTGAGAGCTAGCGTCCGGCTAAACGGCTACAAAATGCGGTATTCTGCTGCCAGGCCAGTAGATGGCGATGAAACAATATTGTTAAAGCTACAATATGTACGAATTTTATAATAAAATATCCAAAAATCACTTGGAGCGTTGCATTTAGTATCCTAAAAGTCTACAAAGATTTTTTACTTCAGAAAAATTTCAGTGGCCGTCCCGCGCTATCCTCGCGTTATGACGTAACCATGGCGACAGACGTGGACAACTGCGCAATGCGTAATGTTTAGCAGCACGCAGTTCTTGTTTCTTTCCAACATAGACCATGGAGAACTACAAACAAGGAGAACTAAAATGAGGATCAACATCAGCGTGGCGTTTTTGAGATGCCGAGAGCTAGCGTCCGGCTAAACGGCTACAAAATGCGGTATTCTGCTGCCAGGCCAGTAGATGGCGATGAAACAATATTGTTAAAGCTACAATATGTACGAATTTTGTAATAAAATATCCAAAAATCACTTGGAGCGTTGCAGTTGTGTACTTACAGTATCCCAAAAGTCTACTAAGATTTTTTATTTCAGAAAAATTTCAGTGGCCGTCCCGCGCTATCCTCGCGTTATGACGTAACCATGGCGACAGACGTGGACAACTGCGCAATGCGTAATGTTTAGCGGCACGCAGTTCTTGTTTCTTTCCAACATAGACCATGGAGAACTACAAACAAGGAGAACTAAAATGAGGATCAACATCAGCGTGGCGTTTTTGAGATGCTGAGAGCTAGCGTCCGGCTAAACGGCTACAAAATGCGGTATTCTGCTGCCAGGCCAGTAGATGGCGATGAAACAATATTGTTAAAGCTACAATATGTACGAATTTTATAATAAAATATCCAAAAATCACTTGGAGCGTTGCATTTAGTATCCTAAAAGTCTACAAAGATTTTTTACTTCAGAAAAATTTCAGTGGCCGTCCCGCGCTATCCTCGCGTTATGACGTAACCATGGCGACAGACGTGGACAACTGCGCAATGCGTAATGTTTAGCAGCACGCAGTTCTTGTTTCTTTCCAACATAGACCATGGAGAACTACAAACAAGGAGAACTAAAATGAGGATCAACATCAGCGTGGCGTTTTTGAGATGCCGAGAGCTAGCGTCCGGCTAAACGGCTACAAAATGCGGTATTCTGCTGCCAGGCCAGTAGATGGCGATGAAACAATATTTTTAAAGCTACAATATGTACGAATTTTATAATAAAATATCCAAAAGTCACTTGCAACGTTGCAGTTGTGTACAGTATCCCAAAAGTCTACAAAGATTTTTTATTTCAGAAAAATTTCAGTGGCCGTCCCGCGCTATCCTCGGTTTATGACGTAACCATGGCGACAGACGTGGACAACTGCGCAATGCGTAACGTTTAGCGGCACGCAGTTCTTGTTTCTTTCCAACATAGACCAAGGAGAACTAAAATGAGGATCAACATCAGCGTGGCGTTTTTGAGATGCCGAGAGCTATCGTCCACGACTAAATTGGACTCGACAGGGCTTCACGTGCCACGACTTGACAGCTTTATTAGACAGGTGAGCAAATGTACATAAAACAAATCAATGTTATATAACGTTATCTCAACATGATGAAATGTTAGAATATGGTCAGTGTGTTATTCTAACGTTGATCTAGCTTACTGCTAACAAGTGCTGTCAAACGATTAAAATATTTAATCGCGATTAATCGCATTAATGTCATAGTTAACTCACGATTAATCGCACATTTTTATCTATTCTAACATTGGAATAGTGTTCAATTTCACACTAACATATAGCCTATAAATAATCTCTCACACAATATAACACTGTCTATCAATAAAAGGGTTAAAAAAATACGTTTTGCTTTTTCGACCAAAGCGCAAGCGGATCTAGACCATAAACAAAACAAAAGGCACGCAGCAAACACACGTTTCGGCTTGCGAGCCGGCTTTGAGTGGATGACGAGCGCGAGACACCAAAATGGATCAGGACGCATGCCGCGTCCTGTTGCAAAAGCATGTGAAAAACGACAAAGTTTGCAAGGACAAAAAGACCGCTAATCGCGCGATAAAAAAGTTAACGCCGTTAAAATGGGTTCGCGTTAACGCCGTTAATAACGCGTTAAACTGACAGCCCTAAAACTGGAATAGAAACAATATATCATTAATGGTCATATAAAAACTGCATTATGTGCAATTTAAGTGTTTGTATTTATCTACGTTTTCATTTCAGTGTTGATTAAAACAACACAATAATGAATTGATTATTAAATTAACTAGATTTTTGATTTGGTGTTTATGTACAGAAGTATTTAGTCTATGGGGTTATATTAGTGGTATCCAATCACATGATCCATTCCTGGAATTGCCATAATTATAAGTTTCCTAGTAGCAAAAATATAAATATGGATAAGAAGGTTTTATGAACGATACGACTTCTCCCGCACTGTGAGTATTTAAGTACCTTGACACATTTCTGTTTGATATGTTTCACCTCAATTTGTTTCAAACCTGTATTTGTTAATAAGAACTAATAAGAAGATATTTTGAAACAGACAGTTGTTGGACCCCATTGACTTCTGTAGTATTTTTTTCCTCCTATGGAAAACTGCTTTGGTTGAAAAATTCATTTTAAGTAAACAACAAAGCCACACATGGATAAATGATGAGGATTGCTGTAGAAACTAATACTTGTTGATTAATAGTCTCCAAGTGGTCATCTCATTAGGAACTTTAGAAACCCACAATCCGGTCATAGTGTGCGTTCTTGACCAGAACAGACTGTGTTGTGGTGGCAGACGGAGACGTTCTTTCTCTGATATCTCTGTGTAATTGAGCTCAGGATGTGTTTGGGCCGTGGATTGTTCCAGACAGCGAGCGATCAGGACTGCAGACCGGATCATAAATCACACTCCCTCGCTCAGTCTCTCAGGATATTACTGCATTCCCCCATAGAGACGACAGTTAGCATCAGTGACAGGCTTCCAGCATGGCTTAATAGTGAACACATGACCTGTGCTGCTCATGCTCAGTACAGGTTTATCTGGCTACACTGTTCTCTCTCCTAAAGGGCCCTATAACACACTCGGTCAGGCGCCACGCAAGTGTGTTTTGCTAGTTTCAGCCCGACGCAATTTTCATTTTCCAATCCGCCATGGACGAGCGCAACTGGCTTTTAAAGGGAATGGGAGATGAGACCCTGATTGGTTTATTGCCCAAAAGATTGCCCATAGAGACAACCCTTTAGACCATGCGCCGTTCCCTTCGTTAAACTAGCAAAAGTGGATTTGGACAAGACCATGCGCTCAGATCCTTAAAATAGGGCTCATAGTGTCAAAAAGTCCAAATAAATGGCTGTGATGCCTCCACTGGCGTCTGAATGGTCTGAATCACTGATTGGTATTAGATGAGCAAGCAGGAGTTGTTACTCATCCCGACATGTGAGTGTTTGTACATTCACCGTTTCCATCATAACAACTGCGCCTCAGCATCATCATCATCATCAGATCCTGAGCACAGATGCTGGAGTGGAGCGCCAACCGGTTCACATCTGCGTCCAATGTGTGCGCAAACAAACATTCGCGCTGCTAAAAGCCTCTTAATGTTCATCATTGAATACTAAATGATCCAATCAGAGTTAACTTGGTTTACTTTCTTAATAAATATTACTGGTCTTGTTATGAACGATTTCTGAGTGCACATTGTAATAAAGATCACACTTCAAATGAATAATAATCGTAATCAATTATCCATGATCCAATTAAATCCTGGGCTGTTTTTCCCAAAACAGTTTTTTTCTAGTTTAAGATGCTTTTGGGAAACTCACTGCATTTCCTGCGAAGTGTAACATTTTATTGGCTGAATGAAATTGGTATTTAAGGATTTGGTAATCTGTTGATTCCTTGCGGAAATTAACCATGTTTTTCTACGATACAAACAAAAAAAAAAACAAACAAAAAAACATAAATTCACAAATTTAAAGGATTAGTTCACTTTTGAAAAAACTTTTGCTGATAATTTACTCACCCCCATGTCATCCAAGATGTCCATGTCTTTCTTTCCTCAGTCGAAAAGA